GGCCCTTTGTCCGGAGCCCCCCGGGAGGGCCTGACCCCGCCGGAGCCCCCCGGGAGGGCCTGACCCCGCCGGAGCCCCGGCTAACGTCCTTTCTTCTCTTCTCCCCCTCGCGTGGCCGCGATTGCAGTGGAGGAAGAAGCGAATGCGCAGGTACGGCGGAGAGGGGTGGCGGGGCGCGGTGTCCCCGGGCCCCGAGCTGATCTCCCCCGGGGGGGGGGGTCGGGATGTCCCGGAACCCCGAGCTGATCGTCCCGGGGTGGGGGGTCGGGATGTCCCCGGACCCTGAACGCGGAGCTGAACGTCCTGGGGGGGTGGTGTCGGGTGTCCCCGGACCCAGAATCCCGAGCTGATGGCCCCGGGGGGGGTGGTCGGGATGCCCCCGGACCCTGATCCCCGAGCTGATGGCCCCGGACCCCGGTGAGCGTGCGGGCGGGGATGGGGGGGGAGGCGGGCGCAGTGGTTGGCGCCCACCGCACTGCTCGCCGACCTCATCAGCCTTTTATCCGGCGCAGACTGGATTTTAAAGGCTGGAAGGGGGGAAAAAAAGACCCGGCCGGTTTGTCTTCCCCGTGACAGGCTGAAGCGCAAGAGGAGGAAGATGAGGCAGAGGTCCAAGTGAGCGGCGCCCGTGCGCGCGGGGCCGGAGCAGCCTCGGTGCCTGCAAGTCGCCGGGCCGCGCGGCCATCGCGGGAGTCGGACGGACCTGGGACATCGCCGCCGGCTCGCGGAGACCCCGACCACACCAGCCTCGCCCGCCCTCCGCCCCGTGCCCGGGTGTAACTCGTGTACAATAAACCCTTTGTCGCCTCTCGGCTGGAGAATCTGCTGTCGCGTGTCTCTTGCGGCTCCATTGGGTGGGGAGTTGTTGGTGTGGCCTGCGCCGTGCAGCGTCCGGGACCCGCGCGGGCGCCGGCCCGGGCTCTCGGGAGCTGGCGGTGCAGTCAGTGCGCGCCCGGGGTCGTGCGGTTAAGTGGGCGCGTCCCCCGCCCCGCTACTGCCGTGCACCGCCGTCGGCGCCGCTTGTGTTCCGGGTCCGGCTGGGCCGTGTTGCCATGGTGACGCGCAAGGCTCGCCGGGAGTTTCCTGCAGCGAGCGGCGCGCCGAGTGGACCATAGAGTGTGGTTCCGGGTCTGGCGGCTAGAGCGTCGCCCCTTCCGCAGGAAGCGGAAGAGCCGTAGGGTGGGCGGCCCTTTGTCGAAGCTAGAGGACCGGCAGGCGGCAGCAGCAACTACGGCGGCGGCGGCAGGTGAGGGAGGCGGGAGGCTGAGGTGGAGGCCGCGCCCGGAGGGGAGGAGTCGGGGCCGGCCCAGGGCCG